AAAATGTTGGTCGAATCTTTTTGGTGCCTTGATGTCGTTGTCTGCTCTAAGTGCGAAGCCGATCAAGTTTCTGAGGATCTCGTCTCTCCATTTATCTGGACCTGGACTCTCATCTTAAGTTAACTAATTTTATACCTAATTTGGCGGAGTCAACATAAGTTTGTGTATTTTATGGCTCATTAAGAAGTTAGTATTTTTTTGGCTCAAAATGGAAAATTTGGTATTAAAATGACTTTATGAGGTTTTTTCTAATTTCAAAACGACGGCGTTTTCAAACTTAACGGATAAAGTAAACGGTTTTTTAACAGTTGTTAAATTTGACTAATTCTATACCTAATTTGGCTGAGTCAACCAAAGTTTGATATTTTTGGACTCATTAGAAAGTTGATAATTATTTAGGCTTAAACGGATAGTTGGATATTAAAATGACTGTTTTCCCATATTTAAATACATGCATATAAACAAAATTACATGAACTCTAAGGTTTTGAAGCATCTAAATTATTTACATACAATAACAGAATTATAAATAAAGTTAAAGAAATACCTCCATTCATCATGATAAGGAAGTTTTCTTTTATACTTAACTAAGTGAAAACCCGTGTGTTTTTTTGTAATAGAGATAGCGAAGTAGTAAGCAATACATAATCTTGTATTTAGGAAACTAACTATGAAAAACTGAAAACTATCTCAAAATCTGACACAAGCGTAATAAAAGACGAAACTAACCCCGGCACTTGGTTTTCTTTCGTTGGGAAGGCAAACAAATCTTTTAGCCACAGAAGCAAAATTTTGTAGGTTTTTGTAGGAAGCTTCTAGCTACAGGAATGAAAGCAAAGGAGTAAAACATGGTCAGGCGTTTGACACTCGTTCAATGACTTTTCACCAATGGATCTACCTGAAAATTGGACACAAGCTATAGCATCGAGTTAGATTTGATCTAGAAGAAATTTGAGGTCATTCCAACGGTATAATCAAAAGTTATGAAAGTTTTAGTGAAGACATGTCTCTCTGGCGAGCAAAAAAAAGCAAGTGCAGAGGAAGGGAATAGACCCACCGATCCTAAAGTGGATCGATCGATCCTGTTATCAGCCAACCCATCGACAGAGCCAAAGATCGATCGGAGGAGAGAGGATCGACCAATCCATACCAGATCGATTAGTAGATCAACCATTCCAGCCTAAACCTATCAGAAGAAGGAAATTTGCCGTTTTTTCTATTTTGGTTGGATTTTATCAGAGAGATGGAACCAAAAACGTGATTTTATTCTAATTTTTAGCCATTGTGGAGGCTACGCTTTATTTTTCATTTAGACTTTTGGCTTTTGGATTTTTGTAAACT